TCCACTCCAGACGGGAAGCCTGGATCATGGAAGTCCTTTGAATTCCTTGGAAACGCCTCTTTTTCATCGCTTTTCTCACACTCTTTCCCTCCCCTGCCTCCAGCCCTCTTTGTGTTTAATGTCTTCCTTTGCTTTCTCGTTGAGACCCAAACTGTAGACCAGGAGCTGGAGGTCTACAGTAGTCCTCCCACTTACATTGTCCTGCCAAGAATCCTGCCAAAAATCACAGTACATGTGTCACTCTGGAAAAAAAAAAGTCTTTATTTCAGTGACATTTCTCAGCTGTCTTTAGTCCTGACAACCACTTCAATGCATCGTGAAACATTCTTGGCCAATTTTCTGAATTTCCATGCCAGTTCTGAGGGAGCCTTTTGGGTCTCGCTCTCATTCTGACTATATTATTTGCCAAGAATGTTCTGTTTAAGGCCTAGACTGTATGTTTTCTGGTGTTAATGATTTGACCGGAAATTCAAGTGTTCCACGTCATCCCCTGCAGGTCAGCGGCCTTCCAACACCAGACCTCATCTGGCAGCTTAACGGGCAGACAATCCGACCTGACAGTGCCCACAAAATGCTGGTGCGGGAGAATGGTGTCCATTCGCTGGTCATCGAGCCAGTCACCTCCCGCGACGCTGGCATTTATACCTGCATTGCCAGCAACCGTGCTGGCCAGAACTCCTTCAACCTGGAGCTCATCGTTGCAGGTAAGCAAGTTAACGCCTTGCATTCATTTCTTTCTTACCACATTGTTTCCTGTAACAGCTGAATAGGCTCAGTTATTGACCCCTAAAGCAGCCTCAACCCAGTCTTCTGGGGACCCTCAGACAGTCTGCATTTTTGCACCCTCCCAGCTCTCAGCAAACCTGAACCAAACAATCAAGAATGAATCAAACAATCAAAAACACAGAATACCTGGTTCAGGTGTGTTGAGAGGTGGATTGAACCAAAAATGTGGACTGTTCAGAAACACTGTTCTAGTCTATAATCTATAATAGTAGATACCTACCAAGCCCCGCTTTTTGAACTCCCCCTACCCTGTCTAACTGGCACCCAACCCGTCCTGCAGCCAAAGAGATGCACCAGGCTCCATCCTTCGTGGAGAAGCTGCAGAACACAAGTGTAGCCGAGGGGCACCCCGTGCGCCTGGAATGCCGCATTGCAGGCGTCCCTTTCCCCCAGATCTTCTGGAAGAAAGAGAATGAGTCACTCACTCACAACACTGAGAGGCTCAGGTAGGATGTGCCATGAAACTTGGAGTGCCCTCCAAGAAGCAGGCTGCTTTTACCCTAGAATGGGTCAGAAACTATACTAGGCCGATCTCCTGTCCTGATCTTTGAACCTGTTGACTATTCCTTGGTATCATGCTAGGGCAAAATAAGTTGCTGAAGTGGTCTTCCTCTGCTATTGGTAATTAACTCAGTGTCTGTTTGACTGCTATCCCAGCATGCACCAGGACAACCATGGTTACATCTGCATGATCATTCAGCCAGCATATAAGGAGGATGCGGGATGGTACACAGTCTCTGCCAAGAATGAGGCCGGCATTGTGTCCAACACGGCTCGCCTGGACATCCACAGTGAGTGTTGTGGGGTCATGTTGGGCTTGGGGAGTAGAGGACTATCTCAGTGGTCAACCTCATTCTTTACTGACATACCGGATGCATAGGGACCTCACAGAGGCCTTCAAATGAGCTTTTAATACGATAATTTTAACCAAAAGTCAAAAAGAGTTCTAGTCCTGTCTGTTAAAGCCTCTCATGTTGGGTTTTAGTCCTTATTTGGCCTCTTCTGACATCACTATCTGGTCAGTTAAGTATTCAGTTCAAAGGTTACTTTCATGGTCTTCAAAGTTGCCTTAGCATTCCTTCCTCGTGCCGCTCTAGGCCTGGCTCGCTCTCACTTTGTTAGAATTTGGATGCCGTCCCAAGGAACCCAATCAGCTCATTTCGGCTGAAATATTTACGGGAAGATAGCATGAGTTGGGAGTCTTCAATCTAATGCGGGTCAGGCCCCCAAGCTTTCAGATCCCTATCGTCACCATTTAACTGCGGCGACCTGAGTTCCAGCCCGTCACTGGAATGCAGTTGGAAAAAGAAGGTCATGAATGTAGAATAAATTACTAGTAGCAACTCTTCCATTAGACTAAGTTTTGAAACATCAGAAGTCATTCATCAAATCAGCGTTAGACCGCCTTACCCCCTTTAGCGGCTGCCAGAGAAAGCACTCCTCCTTTGGCACCACCAGTGCGGCTTACAGTAACGGCTTATGGAAAGGGCTTGTTATTTTAGTGCCAAGAGCACAGCTCCTTATCTTTATTGGGGGGTGGTTAGGAAACTGAGTTGAGGCCTTTAATAAGAAGAATAGCCGTGCAAAGAAATGTTTGGGCTAGTTGCTTAGCAGAGGCATTCAGGCAAAGCAGCTTTGATGCTTCAAGTAGCTTTTTTTGTATTTACTGAAGCTATTCTGTAAAAGGAGCCTGTAAAGGGGTACGGTCTTTAAGCGCCTAACCTGCAGTGTCATTGGAGAAGTGTCTGTAAACAGCTATGATATGATGCAACATGCTCACTGATGTTGCAGAGCAAGGTTCATCCTCAGTTCACACGTAGCGGTGATACCCTTGGAAAGCGAGACCTCGGTGATTGGATAGCAGAGCCAGGTTGACGCCCACATCTGCTCTCCCTACAGCTCAGTGGCAGCAGACCCAAACCGCGAAGCCAAGGAAGGTGCGGCCATCAGCAAGCCGCTACGCCGCGCTGACGGAGAAGGGTCTGGACGTGAAGGCCGCCTTCTTCCCGGACTCTAGCCCGGTGCACCATCCTGGTGGCCTGGTGGAAAGCGACGATCTGTAGGTTCCAGATGCCCCCTTTTGAGGGGGGGAGGGGCGGAACATACCCCAGCACTCCTGGATGACACAGAACCCTCCCCTCGCCCCTACCAACCCCGACCATTTTGGAAGGAAGAATCAGGAAACAGAAAAATGGCCACTGTCTCCTAGACCTGCCCTGCATCATGTGACCTGAGCACATGACATGAATCAGCAGGACGCCTACAGGCTAAGACTCAAAGTGCATTTTTTTCTCCCCTTTAGATTTCTCTGCTCAGGTTAAACACAACCTATGCACCCATATTTTAACTTGAAGTTCCAAGACGCTATTGCATGGTCCCAGAAATAAAAGGCTGACTTTCATAGACATCTTATTTCATGAATCCTGAACCTTTCAAACCCTAAAGTGTCTTCAACAGAAGCAACAAGTCATGCCTTCTTTCAGACAGCAGGGACATAAATCGAGCGGAATGACAAGGTCATTTACACACGTCTAGTAGATTCTGAAAGGAGGAAGAAGCAGGGGCAGGTGATTCTCTTAAGTGCCAGGGCACCTTCAGACTGTGGTGGGCCCCTCTTCCTATCTGCTAAAGTAGTATCTTGTTCAGCATGTTGGCAGAGTGCCTGTGTATGTATGAGTAGTGGTATATATATATTTATAGATGCTATGAACTTGCCTCATACCTTCTCCACGACAAGGAGGTGGATGTTGGGAGGGTGTGGCTCTATACCATTGTGCTAATCCCCGGCATCCAGGCAGTGGAAGATATGGTGCCTTTATGTTTCCAGAGACATGTCTTGGGTGGTTGGTTTTGCTGGGGAACTGTGGCTGGGCTGAACTGGGGGGTGTGTGGCAAACATCATTGCCATGGTAACAACAGTGCGGTCTGGGACATTTAGAAGTTTGGAGGGACTTTGAGTAGCTTTTGCATGTAGAAACCATTTATTTCAGCTCAAGACAGAATCCTGGCTACATCCTAAGATGCTGTACTTTTTACAGAATGTGACATACCTCTACCTATTTAACCACATGCTATGGTCATAGTGACCCAGAAGTGAAGAGTAAGACAAACGATTGGATGGATGGTGAAGAGTAAGGCAAACGACGATTGAATGGACAGTGAAGAGTAAGGCAAACTGTGATTGGATTGATGGTACGCTGTATCTGGATGGCATATGAAAAGTGAACCGGGTTATGATTGGAGGATAAAAATGAGGCAAGCTGTGATTCGACTCTTACATGTTCAGCATTTCAAGGATATCAGGAGAACACAAATATTGCACATTTATTAAAATCTATAAACTGGAGGAACTCCATGTTGTTTATGAATGTCATTAGGAAGACAAGCCTAGCATGAGGTGACAGAACCTGGTTCTGAGTGATGTGGTTCAGCCCAGTCACAATGTTCCCCATGTGTGAGCCAATGTGGTCCAACTTAATCTGGCATTGTTGAAATTCACAGCTTGCTGGGGGCATGCTGTCCGAACTGGAAGGAATGAAGTCGGAATGATAATGATGATCTTTCCAAGATGACCAGTCTCCTGCATTGTTTTCACACCTGGTCTGACAGCAGCAGTGATGAGCTGCTTTTGCATAACAGAAAATGACTCTCCTTTCTTTGTAGTGATAAGTTATGTCAGTGATCCTTTTCTCCTCTGTTGTCAATGTAACTTAAGCCTGGTCTGTATTTAAATTCTTTACACAAACTGCCTTTGCCACTGGCACATTTTAATTATTTATATCTGTGCGCATATTGCATTTTAGAGAACCTTGTATTTGAGTTTTTTTCTAAGCAAAATAAAACATAAAAAAGACTTGGGATACTTATAGGTTATATCAGAGGGTCACAATTATGTTCCTTATGAGCCAGAATGCTGCAGTGTTTACAAAAAGGCTTTTTTTAAAGCAACCAATCAGCACCAGGATCCTCCGGTCCAGTGACTGCTCACTTAAAACCTCCAGTAGCCTGGCTCTTAAGGACCAGGTTTGGGCCAACCAGGTTCTGTGTGCCTTTCAAAAGAAAAAGGGGGGGATCTTTGTACTTATGTAACTAAAACACACATATACATATGCTACACGCATGTAATATGTACCGGGTAACAAAGGCTTCTGTGCTCACCTGTCAACCTGCTTTTGGCACCTGTCAGTGAGACACAACACAGCAAGCACACTGACTTATTCTGACACCTTTTTTTTTTTAATAAACTCACATGACAATCTGTGCTTGTATAAGGATTGTCCTACAGATGGTATTCTTGACCTAAAATTACAATAAAAAGCTCTGGAAGTAACAGACCTTTGAGAGTTTTATGAGTGAAGATAACCTATACCTTTACAGAAAGCAATCATGTTCTCCCAGTGTTCCTCAGAAGAAGGTGGTCAAGGCTTGGGTCTACAGAACCTTCATGGAGAGGCTTGGGCCTACGGAACCTTCACGGAGAGGCTTGGGCCTACGGAACCTAAACGGAGAGGCTTGGGCCTACGGAACCTTCACGGAGAGGCTTGGGCCTACGGAACCTACACGGAGAGGCTTGGGCCTACGGAACCTACACGGAGAGTAACTTACTAAAAAAATCTATATTAAACTTGTTCATGCAGGTGTATTTGTACCCATTCAAAAGCTTGGCCCTCACTAACTAATTCGATGCACTGTTTGGGTGCTCAGGCAATAATGCAGATGTGAAAGGAGGAAATTAGCTTAGCACTGGCTGTGGTCCATTAAACTAGACACATACGTCAAAAACTGGCGATGTAATTGCATGGCTGAGAGAAGGGGGCAGTACCTTGCTTGACCCCTAGTCACCACACATTGCCAATGAGACTATTACTCGATCAAAGAAACCAAGGCAGCAAAAATGGAACACAATCAATGCTGGAAACCAATACATTAACACTGCAGATCTGAAAACTGCAGCTGGATTCAATGACAAAATAGCCCAGGTGTTTGAGGCCGATTCTTAAGTGAACTCGTGAGCCCCATAAACAAATCCTGTCAGTTCATCAGTCCTATTAATGTGAAACGTGGGGGCGTGTCCTACGAGGCCAGTCTCAGTCCACCATCTACCAGCAGCACCTGGCCAGTGACGTAGGGTGTCTCCAGCAGGAAGTGAACGGCGTGGGCCACATCCCTGGGCTCCCCGAAGCGGCCCAGGGGGACCGCCCGTTTCAACTCATCCTCATCCAGAGCTGCCGTCATGTCCGTGCGGATCAAGCCTGTTGGGGATGAAGACAAATAAATACCCTCCAGCAAGTCAACACTAAATGTTAGCTATGCATTCAGTAAACATGTGACGGGTGAAGGGAGTTTTCTTTAGCTGTAATGGGGGCGGGGGGGGATGTACCCGGGGCCACGAGGTTGACACGGATGTTGCGTGGTGCCACCTCCTTGGCCAGAGACAACGTGAAGCCCTGGAGACCAGCCTTGCTGGCACTGTAGACAGTCTGGCCCACGTTACCCTTGAGACCGACTACCGACCCTGCAGCACACATGGGGATTGGGGGGGGGGGGGGGGGGGGATGTTACCGGTAGG